GGTTTTTTTTTAGGCTTTCCAATTTGTTGGTGTACCATTGTTCATAATAGTTCCTAATAATCCTTTGCATCCTAAAGTATTAGTTTTACAACTTAAATTATTGGTCTGTTTGGCTAGATCATTATTTCTTGGTTAGTCTAGCTAAAAGTTAGTCAACTGTATCCTTTCAAAACCCAAGTGTTTCACTGATCTTTTGGGGTTTAAAAAAAAGTGTCTGTTTATTTCTGTTCTGAACTTTGTTTTATTACTCTTGGGTTTGATAAGTTTTTAATTTTCTAGTTCTTTGAGTTGCACTGTTAAGTTGTAGGTTAGCTTTTCCTTGCTATAACTATCATTTGATATACTTTGAGAGGAAAGGTTTTTGGCTTACAGTTTTGGAAGTTTCAGTCCATAGTTGGCCGTGGTTTTTTACTGCTTTTTCTTTTCTCTTTTTTTAAAGTCTAGGACAAGGCAACATTCGGTGGCAGGTGCACATGGCAGATCAAAATACTTTATCTCATGTATATATAGGAAAAAACCAAGGTCCTACAATCACAGTCAGCCCTCCAATTAAGTCTTACCTTCTAAAAAAATTTTTTTTGGTACCAGGGATTGAACTCACAATCTCGTGCTTGCCAGGCAGGTGCTTACACCACTGAGCAAAAAAAAAATTTTTTTAACTTTCTAAAATTTCTGAAGGGAATAAGGCTTTAAGGCTATGATCTATTGGAGGACTTCCCAAATCCAAACTACAATAAGTTGTTTATTTGAACTCGTCTGTTTTTTGAGGTAGGTATTTATTGCAATAAACCTCCCTGTTAGTACCACTGCAGTAACTTTAGTTATGAAAGCATGATGGGTGTGTACATAACCATGCCATCAATGGATAGGGCTGAGTAACGGCTATCTCATCCTCAAAATTCTTCAAATTCTTGGTGTTTGCAATATTGGTGTTGGCTGGGTTCTACAGTGTTGCACAAAGAGAAAATAAAAAAAATTTAAAGGTCAGTCACAAAAGAATGCAAAGGTTGACTGCAAACTGTATAGAATCTGGATGGGGAAAAATACTGTATTCAGGGTTCTAACGAACATCTTAGTATGTTATAAAGCCAGACTTACTGGGTTTCAAATCTTTTCTACCATTTTGTCATTTTATCTTTCTGTCTCAGTTTCCAAGTTACTGCGAGAATGAAATCTGTCAATATACATAAAGTTCTTAGATCAGGGTTTAGAGCATTAATAGAAAAAAATGAGGGGCAACTTAATGCAACATTTTTATTTCATTCATATTAAACTTAATGTAGATTTTTCATCTCTGTTGTATATGAGGGGAAATAAGATTCGTATATAAAAGTTGTCAAGGAATATAAATAATTGCTGGACATAACAATGAGCACTTGTAATTCCAGCTACTTGGGAGGCTGAGGCAAAAGGGTCACAAGTTTGAGGCCAGCCTTAGTAACAGTGAGACTCTATCTCCAAATTAAATTTTTAAAAAGGGGTAGGAATGTAGTTTAGTGGTTTTGGGCTCTATCTCCCCAGTACTAAACTCCACCAAATGTTCATTACTGTAGGTATCTTCTAGAAGGTTGTACTTAGAGCATAAAGTAGATTCTATAGTTGAATTCCGCCAAAGACTGGGCTAAAAGGTAAATGAATCCTGAAGTCTGAATCATGCGTACATGATCATCTACCATTTCACTCATATTAGTTAGCTTTCCTATGACTGAGACAAAATATCTGATTCAACTTAAAGATGAATGTTTGGCTCATAGTTTTTAGAGGATGCAGTTCATAGATGGGTAGCTTCAAGGCAAAAATGGCACAGTGGAAGGGTGTGGCCAAGGAAAGCTGCAACCCATGGCAGCCAGGAAGCAATGAATGAATGACTGGTGACAAGAACACCTTTCTGGTTGCACCCCTAGTGACTGGTCTCTTCCCACCAGGTCCCTCTGAACACCTATTTTTGGGGATATTTTAGACTTAAACTGCAATACCTGTAAGAAACAAGCTAAAAATTAGGAAAGCTCAGTGTTCTGTTAGGGACTTACAACATATTAATAATAGCTGATATATATTAAAACAGTACCTAAAGTTTCGATGATTGTTCCTTTCAGCACAGAGAAAATAAAAACAATGGAAAGAAATCATAGCACATGTGTAGCACAATGATTCTCAGGGATGAGATTTTAAAATAAAAATGTTACGATTAATTTCATTTTTTAAAAAAAGGTCAAAATTAATTAGCATCATGTTATATACAAGAAAGGCCTTAATATATATGGAGATAGTAGTCAGCCTAATCATATTTGCCCACTTGTTGACCTAACCTCAAGAAATTGCCTTAGCTGACACTTTATCCCCAGCAGGTGACCTAGTGGCTATACTTAACCATACACTATTCTCAGGGATCCTCCATTTGCTAGCTTGAGCTATCAAAATCACCTTGTTGGCATTTAAGTCACAAGGGGAGATCTAGCTAATGAGAGGCAGTGGAGACACATAATGGGGTGCTGAGGTTCATGTTTCAGTTTCCATATTTTCCTGCAATTTGAGATGTATATTCTTCTAATCTTCACACTAGCTCTATTTTTCTTTTTCTGGTTCACAGGGTTTTCATTTTTTACTATTAATACCTGACCATATATATTTGATTACCTCGCCTTCAAACTGCCAAGTCTGCATCCAGATACGCAGAAATAAGAATTTAGCCTACTACTTTGTACTTGGGGACAGAAAATAAACTAAATAGAATGAACAAACATTTTTAGTAGATTAATACTTGAGTCCTAGTTTCTTAAAATATAACAAATATCAAACCTTGTACACTCTATTTCTTATTCTTCTCTCCATACTCATCATTTACCTTAATTCTAATGCCCTCTTAAGTAATATATTTTTTTTTTTCTTTTTCTCTTTTCCGCTACCGAGGATCGAACTCACAACCGCCTGCTTGCAAGGCAGGTGCTTATGCCGCTGAGCTAAATCCCCAGCCCCTAGTAATATTTTAAAAAATAAGATTTGATAGCTATTTTAAGAACACTCAAAAACCAAATCTCTAGCCCAGTGACAGCAAATCTTTTACAGCTTCCCATTATTATAAACAATCAGCTGCAGTACTTATGTCACGTTTTTTTTTTTTTCTCCTCTTCGAGAGATTCAATGTTCTTTTTTCTTGTCTTTTTCATTTTTATCGGTACCAGGGATCGAACTCATGACCGCCTGCTTGCAAGGCAGATGCTTACACTGCTGAGCTAAATCCCCAGTCCCTATCACATTGTTCTTATCTGTGCTTATAAATCCAGCACTTGGGAGGCTGAGGTATGAAGTTTTCAAGTTTGAGTCCTTCCTGGGCAATGTAGTGAGACCTTGTCTTAAAATATTACAAACTAGTGAGGATGTAGCTCAGGAAAAGCCCTAGGTTCAATCCCCAGTACTACAAAGAAAATGATACCACCAACAAAAAAAAACAAATCTCACAATCTCACTGTGGAGTGACTTCATAGATTCCTGCAGGGCCTTTTACCCTCCCTTGAGAACTTTTTACTGTTGAGTGCTGCTTTTACTACTCAGATAGGTCTTCTTTTTCTATAAATTGTTCACAGTACTGTTGAACCCAGACTAAAATCACTATTTTGGAAGAACGCAGGAATAACAGAAAAAAAATTTTTTAAAGTATACAACGATAGAGTTTTAAACTTCCGAGTCACTAAATTCAGGAACTTCTCACTTCCCAATACTGGTTTTGTGATCACAAAGATCAATACAAATCTTACCAAAAAAGAAAAGCAGGCACCTAAAGCAGTACTGACAGGTAGACAATTAGCAAGATTTCACTGAAGGTCTGCCTAAAAAATCAAGGCCTTAAGAGCAAAGCATTAGTTGTTCCCAAGATTGAACAGGCAGGAAAAGAGGAAGTATACAAGAGTCTAAGAATGTGCAGAAGAAAAAAACAAAATGTATTTTAGGAAGTTTGAAGTATTTCATTATGCCATTGTGCAAGGGTTTTCTCCCTGTTTATGTTCAGGTGATTGTCTCCACTCTCTACCATCTGGAAAGATCATTAAGCACACCTCTACCTCCCTGAATGTAAGCCATAAAGCCAAGCCATCAAGGATGGAGGACACTCCTCCTCTTCCAGTCTGTGGCAGCTTTCTTGCTTTTATTCCACAGGCTCAGGACTGGCTTAATCCTTGGTAATTAATGCTGATAAAAAGCTTCCTTTGGAAAAGGTCTTAATGTTTCATACCCCAAGATTTTCCTCTATGACTGTGGTAAGGACAAAGTATCAGAACAATGCATTGTGTTTATGCATTCAGTGAGAACCTCTTTGTTTACACAGACAATATAAAGGTCACGTTCTGTAGAGCGAAGAAGATCGTAAGAACTGGATTTTATATCTTTAGCTTTGGTATATAGCTATTGGTATGAAATTCAGAAATCCTAAATTATGATTCTCTTTATCAAACAAAATTTACTTCTGATTTGATAGTGATTATCAATATTAGTGAAACTAATGACAATTTCTAAACATAAGAAAGATAGTGAAAGAAGGGAAGCAAATTAAGTTTCTAGAAATTTTAAAACCAGTACTACGCTGTGTTCCCTGGGCTGCTGCTGTCACCTAAAGTTAAAATGTGCTCAATTTCTGGATGACTAGTTGTTCTTTTCAAGCTGACTAATTACTAAATTTTTTCTGCAAAAAGAGTACAGTAATTTAAATTGAAATACTTTTAGGTAGCAACTATCTAAAAATATAGATGTTCTTCAGCATATACTCTCAGTGAAGATGAAAACTGGTCCAAAGCAGGGAGCAAAAACAACAGATATATATATATAGTCTATAAACAGATACACAGTATATATGTGATAGCAAAATTAAGAAACAATGTCTGTTTCATTTCTAACCAATGCATGAGTAGAACACTTGTGAATGCCTCTAAGACACTAAAATGGTTCAAGTATAAAGAAAACAAATGTACAAAAAAATAGTTGTAAGCCATTAAGTTTTTAAAACAGAGTACAAACAAAGAAAGTAAATTTATTTAAATTACTAAAATAGCTTTTGAAGTCATTTACATATCAGTTGCTACAATTATTTTTCCTGAAAGATATATGTAACATATTACTTTAAAATTATTTGGCTGACTGAAACATTTAATAAAAACATTTGTTTCTCCATATAATATGTGTAAAATAATCCTCAAAAACTTGTTTTATAATCCTTTATAAAATAAATGAAATGATCTGTCTTTTGATTGTTAGGACAAATTACAATAAAGGGGTATAAATTTATGTATGCTGGTAATTCTAGTGGAAAGAACCAGACCACACTAGAAGTTGTGAGGCCCTCCAAGGGTAAATGATGAAGTTGATGTCTGGGTCTAGTACTTTAAAAACAGTATTTTCACTTTATAGCTTGTGGACAGTTAAAAAAAAAATGTACTCAAAAGTATATTTAGAAATATACCTGAATGGAAAAGAAACCAGTTTAAAGATGAGAAAACCCAAATTATACATTTAACATTCTTTATATGTAGCAAAATTCACTATCTTTTTGACTTGAGGCACTCAAATTTATCACATGCATAGTAAATCTTTATATTTATTACAGAGTGTGATTAAAGGACTTAAGACTGCAACAAGCAGACGAAAATTAAATCCTTCAACAGCCCAGGATAGCAGGTTAACAAATGGCTGACAAGTTTCTGAAACTGTTATTTCTTAATTCAAAATAAAAACTTTGGATTTATATAAAATAAACTGTTCTGAATTTACCTTTAGAGTCAAATGAGCAACTATAATTAAGCCTTCTAATATATAGACTATATATTAGAGGAAAAATACAAATATAATTAAGCCTTCTAAATATATAAACCATATATTAGAGGAAGAAAAAAATACAAAAAAAATTTTGACAGAATAAATACAAAAAAATCCCAGTAGAACTCACCAAGATATGGGTTTAGATACTTCACTAACCTACCTTTCAATGGCTTATTGTAACATTTCATCTTGGAGAATTTTTTCATCTTTCCATTTCCTTCTTTATTCATCCTATAATTCCCCTTTTCCCTTCCCTTCTCCTCTCTGCCTTCCAAAAACAAAGGGAAAAAAAAAAAAAAAAAACCTAAACACAAATGCAGATGACCTTTCATTATTTTTGTTCCTATAAGCAGATGCTAAGGAACTTAGACCTAAATGATGTAATAGAAAACAACAGGAAAACTCATGGTTACAGTAAAAGAGCTGCCTTAATAACAAACTTAAAAAATCTACACTTAGTTAAAAAACAAGGCTGACTGATAGGAAAGGAGCCTAATCCTGCAAACAATTCACACTAGAGCAATGACTGCCCAGAATCAAAACAGACCCCTGATGGGAATGCAAATTATTTGTACTCCTCTAAATACCTAACATTGCTCTCTCTAGAAATAGAGAAGTGATTCTCTTTAAGTCACAGATAACTAGGATGAATAAATGATTTAGATGTTTCATGTTGTTATAAGAATTTCACTTCTTTTAAAAAGAAACCAGTTCATTCAAAAATGCTTTGAATTCAGTCTCTGGTAAAAAAAAAGTCTGGAAATTTCTCAGAATTTAAGACATGATTTTTTTTCTCTTCTTTCACCCCTTACAAACAGATGCCCCTTTGCAGAGCATTTTCAGGTTGCACAGGCAGGACTAAATGAGAAATACGGCTCCAAAGCCCATTCAGTTTGTCTGGGTCCATATGATTATAGGAACTGGGGGTGTTGGAGTTGGTGAACTTAACTTTGAGGAAATCTCTCACTTTTTCTTCAATTTCCTTTAGGCCTAGACTGGTTCCAAGGGTTTTCTCTTCCAACAAGACAGTCAAGATTAACGCTACATCTTTGAAGGCTGCAGTTTCATGGTCACAATATTTATAAAAGATCAAAGTAGAACCTGCAGGCAGTGATTCAAAGCGGTGCACCACAGCTGCATTCTGGCCATTTGTAAAACCACTGCTCAATTCCTGATCTACCTCCAGTTTGACAACATCACTGTCTTGAGCAGCTTTGCCTGTCCCATCAATCCGGATGGCACGGACACTACGAAAGGAAGAATAGGCATCAGCAATTTGTTCACTCAGACACTTAAGTGCTTCTTCAGCATCTTGGGCAGCAGTGAGCAGCAAGATAGCAGGCTGAGGCCGAGGATGGGAGCTATTAAGATGTTTTTGAAGGAATGTTAGGCTTCTTTCCCATAGCTTCTCATCTTGACCTTGGTACTTTTTCCTCAGTTGTTTCATTTGGTCTTGGAACATTTGAACAGCTCTAGTTTCTTCCTCAGGACGATGAATAAACGAATAGTATACAAAGCCAAAAATTATCAGAACCAAAATTACCGGCAACCAAAACCACTTCCTCTTCAAAAAATATTCATTTTGGGGCTGTTCAGCTACTTCTGTTCAGAATAAAAGAAATGACAGATGTAAACAATCATTTTCTTATATTCAAAGGCAAATGAACTTTATAAATTAGGATTAATCTTTACAAACAATAGGTAAAGGAAACGACTTTAAAGAAAGAAGCTGGTATTTCTCTTTCTTGGGAGGATAAAACAGTTTATCACATTTTCAAATCTCAAATCACATGCCTGAAGTTACATGTATAAATATGAATATCTCTTAAATATGAAAGCAATAAAAGATCTTTGATAAAATGCAGAATTTAAAACATGAAATGGCATAAGTCATAAGTAACTATAATGAAAAATTATTACCACAGCTAATAACAGAGAGATAAATAGTAAAAAATTTTTTATAAGTATTTTTAAATTTAGAAACAGTAATTCACATGGTTAATTATCTAAGAATATTTCTGAGATACATAAAAAGATAAAGAAAAGGATGCTACCTAAGCAAATTTCATCCAGTATTACGATAGCTACCTGTCTCTTCAGATCAACAGTTCTGAAGCCTATCTTTATCTTTCTGTGTTTCCAAGTTAGAAACAGTAAAATTTAGTTTTGAATTCAAATCCTAATTATTATTGGTAATAATTCTATCAGTTTACATTTATATACAAGATCAAAATATAAGTGTTTTTTTGGGGGGTGCTGGAGATTTAACTTTTTAAGACTTTGTGCTTGCCAGGCAGGCACTTGTGTTGCTGAGCTTTATCCTTGGCCCTAACTGAAAATATTTTGTTATCATAAAAAAATACTTTGCTGTTGAATCCCCTCAAAATATTCTCCTTTGCTTTCAACACACCATTGTTCTTGCCACTTTTGAAACAGTTCTCCAAATACTCTTTTGTGGCTTTATGCAGTATGATCAAAAACTGAGTGACCATTGCTGCTGATTGCCATCCAGCAGAAGGGAAGTTCGTGAAAACACTATGGCTGAGTCTTCATCCACTTTATTCACCTGATTGATCTGACACGTCTCAACTTCTTGCTCTTTCCAAAATGAAAATCACCATGAAAGGTAACCTTTTTAAATCAATTCAGAACACCAGTACAACTGATGACACATACAATTTACAAAGACTTTTAGAACTGCTTCAGAGAGAGGCAAGAATTATGGGATAAGTGTGTGTAAAGCATGGGATATTTTGAGGGGGATTAATGACAATGTATCTTTTTTGTAATAAATTTAAAAACTTTTCCTCAAATATTTAGAGCAATTTTCAATCACTCCTTATGGTATTTATCAATTTATATATACTTTCTTACAATACCACTTTGTTTAATCATTAATGATAGCAGCAATAACATTTTTATATCTATTATTTATTGATTGACTGATTTAGGTTAATAATTGTACTAGAGAATTTTTTTTTTTTTTTAAATTGGTACTGGGGATCGAACTCATGACCACATGCTTGCAAGGCAGGCACTTATGCCGCTAAGCTAAATCCCTAGCCCTATATTAGAGAACTTTTCGAGTAGCAGTTCTTAAAGTATGACCAGTGGGATATCTATAGGTAGTCCAATCAAAACCATGTATTGTAACAGCTGAACATAGAAGTAGATGTGAGAATCCAAGAAAATGCTATTAAGCCAGCCATTAAAGAGATTAGAAAAAATGCCAAGTAATGTTACTTTCTTACTAGATTTTCTTTAAAATAAATTAATATCTTAAGGTGTTCCTAACTTCTACATAAGTATGGATGGACAAGGGTAAGTCATTTAAAAAGAGCTTCTATAAACTTTAAACAGAACTATCAGCTGATCTAGCAGTCCCACAGCTGGGTATACATCCAAAGGAAATGGATTCAGTGTGTCAAAGAGACATCTGCTTTCCCTAAGTTTATTGTAGCACTATTCATAACAGTCAAAAGGCAGAAAGCTAAATGCTGCAATGGATAAAAAATGTGGAACACGTATACAATGGAATACTATTCAGCCATATAAACACTGAAATTCTATTGTTTCCAACAACATGGACAGAAGTGGAGATCACTACCTTAAGTGAAACAGGCTAAGCACATACAGACTAGTAGTGTACGATTTCACTCATACATGGAATCTGAAGAAGTTGACGTCATGGGACTGATGATAAAATGGTGGTTGCCAGAGGCTGGAGAGCATGAGTATAAGAGAAGGGTGGAAAAGGCTGGTAATGGGTGGTAAATAAAAGGTAGGTTTCAAAAAGTTTGAAGAAAGGATCTTAAATGTTTTTTACCATAAAGAAATTATATATATTTGAGATAAATATTTAAGTTGATTTAAACATTTCAATATATATATAAAATAATACATGGTATTCCATAAAATTTTAATGCTTTTATGTATCAGTTTTAAAACTTAGCCTGAATAATAACAATAAAAAAAGCCCTCTGAAGCTCTTAACTTTAGTAATGAAAAGGGGCACTGAGATAAAAAATTTGAGAATCATTGTTATTTTATTAGTACTCATGATAATAAATAGGCTTAGGGAATTAAAGAAACTTCTGTCAAAGCTACATACACAAGGTAAGTTTTCATCTAGTTCAAATACTGTTGCATGGACTCCAAAACCCAGTCATCTCTTTATGTCACACTGTGTGCAGTCTGTTTCCTAATTCAGTATTGGTTGCTCAGTTAACCTTATTAGTAGCTTTGCTTATTAATGTTTATTTTTGGTCTTATGGACAATAAAGTAAAAGGGAAACTAGATGTGGTTTTACCATAAAGAATTTCACTGCGAGTATAATACTTTTTCCTCTGAAATGCTTAAAATATAATTCAATTAGAAGTAAGTCATACTGCTATTAGTACATTTTAAAACAACTATGGACTACCAAGGTTAAGAGACTCATTTAATAGAAATTGAACAGACAAACTTACGTTTGTTCAAAGATGATGGAGACTGATTTCTACGCTCTGACACCTGAACGCTGTCACCTAATGATCGAATAATTAAAATACACTATCAATGTATGTTTTATAATTTGAACATTTATTTTTAGTAGAGAAAGAAGATACTAATTCTACCAAGTAAAAAGAAAGCACAGGGTAGAAGCAGAAGAAAAAGAGTATTTTAATGCCCATTGTACTGAAAGCTCTTTGAGACACAAGACATATTTCTTTTAAAGTTATTCAGAACATGTAGTTATCTAATACAAAGTATACACTTAAGTTTTGAGAGAAAGCCTTGAAGTATTTGACCTATGCTTATCTAATGATATTGGTAAAACTATAGGACAAAGTTAAGTGGACAAAGAAAATAAGCACACCGGGGCTGGGGAGTTAGCTCAGCGGCATAAGCGCCTGCCTTGCAAGCAGGCAGTCGTGTGTTCGATACCTGGTACCGATAAAAATGAAAACAAAAAAAAAAGAAAATAAGCACACCATAATAAAAGGAAACATATACCATCTGAAAAACGGCCACGTATCGAACTCTTGAGTGGTGAAGATGCTGTAGAGAGGGGAGAAAAAAAGGACAAAAATGTGGATTATTGACTAGTAACTTATCTGGATAAGGTGTTTCAACGTAAAACTCAATTTTGATCTTCACTATTCTACCTCAAACTAACTCAACATTTCCTCTGGGGTTTCTGACAATTTCAAACAGTAGTAGTATTTTAAAAACTTCCCATCATTTCTGTTAACAGACACAACTGTTTTAGGTTTGTGATTAAATAAAAGTTCAAAAATAGTTTTTCACAACTTCACCAGATCTCCACTTCCATCATTACTTTAGAAAATATTTAAAACCATCCCAGCCTTTCCCTTTTCCCCTTCCATCTTTCTTATCAGGGCAGCAGGTTTTGACATCTAAGAGGAAACGCAGGAAAAGGGCCAGGGTTCAGAGGGTAAAAAGGATGAGCAACCTCATTGCTATTATCTGCACCAGGCAGTACTGCCATCTATTGTTTGCCTCAAATTTTATTACTTTTGTATATATAACTGATTTTCCTGGTATGCAGTAACAGTATTCATATGAAAAACACTAGACTAACAGAAGGAATAAAATTAGCATTGCTAAGACACAGAAATAGCTTCATTTTTTATGTGACAAGGAAACTCAAAATAACATCAACCTTAAATCTAAGAGGCAAATTTTTTTTTTTTTTGGTCTTTTTCCTTTTTATCAGTAACGGGGATTGAACTCACGACTACCTGCTTGCAAGGCAGGTGCTTATGCCGCTGAGCTAAATCCCCAGCCCCGTATCATTTTTTTTTTTTTTTTTGCCTTTTTCTTTTTTTTTATCAGTACTGGGGCTCGAACTCACGACCACATACTTGCAAGGCAGGTGCTTATGCCACTGAGCTAAATCCCCAGCCCCCGAGGCAAATTTTTTTAGTTACTACTTTAGCTTAGGAAGCTTCATATTTTAGAGGTTTCTAAAGGCATTAAAGTTATAATTGCATTATCAAAGCAAAATATGAACCAAAAAACCCAAACCCATCAGATGTTTATCCTAAATACCTTACTACATAGTTTGCAAAGATCAAATGAAATAATACATATGAAAATCCTGTGAAGTATCTATATTTATGATAAATAACTTATTATATACAATCCATTAATAGTTATATAATTCCTGAAATACAAACAGCACAGTATATACACACTAATTAAAGTTATTCTTATTAAAATCATTAGAGACAGTAACAAAAATCCTGAAAGAAATCTTAAAAGATAAAGCTTTTCAAGCAGGCGGTCGTGAGTCCAATCCCCTGATTTAAACAGACAAACAAAAAAAGATAAAGCTTTTCTAGTCTAAAGAATACAGCAATAATTACTCTGTAAAAGAGTAGAAAGCTTGATCTTCCAGTTATTGACTTTTACACAAGAACAAATAATCACTTAGTTATATGATACTATATTTCGACTTTAAAAAATTGTTTACACATAGAAGCTCATTATAATACCTTAGTTACAAACACTGGTGTTCCTAAGGTAAGAAAATCTGGGTTCATAAAGTTTAAGTGACTTTACCAAACTCTTTCAATTAGCAAGTGAAGAGTGTTAAGTCTAGAACCCAGGTGCTGCAACTCCAAAGTCTATCTTCTTTTCTCCACATCATCTTTTATTTTATTTTTTGGTCTTTCTCACTATGCAATTCAGGCTGGCTTTGAGCTCATTTTGTAGCCCCGTCTGGTCTTGAACTCACAACAATCCTCTTTCCTCAGTCTCCCAAGAGCTGGGATGATAGGCATTTCACACCAACTTTTAAAATAGGTTCCAAAGCATTTATCAATGATCTTACATCTTTAGAGACACATCCTTTCCTATTCACACTGTTTTACATATAGTAAATGGGAAAAAGTAAAAACAGTGGCTCACTGCTGAGGAAAAAAGAATTGTGATCATATTAATATTCATGGAAAAACAAAGCCAAAGAGGTTATCTTGTCCAGTGACAGAGTTAATCATTCCATAAATAAGAGACACATAATAGAGATTTTTCTATTATTTAAAAAAAATAAGGGGACACCTGAGGACCTTGAGACCACTATAGTCAGAGGAGTAAAAACGGAGATAAAGAATAAAGGTTATTTAAAGCACACAATGTATATGTGTACATGTACAAGTTTAATATAGTCAAGGATTAATCGGACACATTTCTACAGAAATTATGACAGGCAAGGTGTTCAAAGTAAAATTTCATGACATCAGTTTATGAGCATTTCTTTTTTTTTTTTCATTTTCTTTTTTGTCTTTTTCGTTTTTACCGGTACCAGGGATCGAACTCACGACTGCCTGCTTGCAAGGCAGGCGCTTATGCCGCTGAGCTAAATCCCCAACCCCAGTTTATGAGCATTTCTTAAATTCTGTGACACTTAGTCCAATCCTAAACTTGAACAAGAAAACACAGTTTGTGCATCCCAGTTCTTATTACATAAGAGAATGGGTATGTAAAACTGTTGTGTTACTATAAAGTCTGCTAACTAAACACTATGATTGTCAAAGTAGTACAATGTCATTCTATATATGCTTGCTGCTACAATTGGACATACTGTCACGCCACATCCATCATCAAGATTTTCTCATGCCACTATCTATGTTGTACACCTAGTCCATCTAATCCCAGTCCAAGCAACTGGAAATTAGTGAACTAGTAATCGCAGCTGTTTTTTATTAGTGAGATCACAAACAACCCAAATGCTTGTATGAACAAATGATTATTTTTGTATATAAGATAACCAGGAAAAACACATCAAACAAGTTTACTTACTCTGCATCCTAGTCCTCATTCTGACCGGCTGTTCAAACCATTCTTGAGGGTTTTTTTGATATCCTGAGCCTGAAACAAATTCATATATTGAAATACCATTCTACATATTTTGAAAGTCTGTATCAGAGCCCAATGTTTCTATGACAAATCTATCAGGAAAAAATAAAGTAGGGAGGAAAACAATGAAGGTAACAGTTTGTGAAATGAAAGAATTTCAAAGGATCATATCAGTGAAGATGAACTACTTCCCCCAGCAGAATACGTATCCAATAAATGGGACAGTGATGGAGAACTATGGCATGAACGCTGCACTGGGCTGTCTGTACCACTGAAAGCTCTATAAGGTTTGCCAACACTGCATTACAACTAACAGACAAAATTATGTATGAATTGTTATAGCTGTGTATAGATGTCCCCAAAGCCTGATGCAGTCACAGATAGGTTTTTTTACAGGTGGCTGCATCTAGAGTATGTGGGACTGATTCTCGGTGCAATGCTAGGCTTAAGAGCACTAGAGGTTAAGGATTTGAGTGCTACCCACCCTAAGTAGCATGGAAAAAATGAGCTGTGGTTGTCCTTTGTTTTTGCAACCCTTTGCCTACTATAAACTGTTCAGCCTTGGAGCCAGCTGATTATGGTGAAACTTCTACAAACTGTGAGCTGAAATAAACCTTTTTTCCTTTAACTTCTGGTGATGGGTATTTTGTCTCAGCAAGAAAAGTAATTAAGACTTAAGTTTTGGGCTGGGAATTTAGCTGAGCGGCATAAGCGCCTGCCTTGCAAGCAGGCAGCCGTGAGTTCGATCCCTGGTACCGAAAAAGACAAAAAAAAAAAAAAAAAAAAGACTTAAGTTTTTTGGTCTATGTGAATGACTGAGTTCAAAAACACACCACTAGGTTTTGATGTTATTTAATTGACAAGTTAACCATTTACTCTTGCAGGTAAATGACTTACGGTAAAATAGCCCTGAATGTATTTCCACATTACAGTAGTTATCAGGCATAGTACCAATGATTAGTAGGTGTCATGGTTTATGTTGGTGGCCTCCAAGCCTCAAGCAATTATGAATGCGACCAAATCTAGTGATTGGTTCATTGTCTAGTACTTGGATTGGTAGTGTGAGTGCTCCACCCACCTAGGGGTGGAGCCAGGATATGATGTAACAGCAGGAAGAAGGTGTATCTTTTCCTTTTGATTTTGCTGTCTGCAGTGGCCATGGAAGACTGCCCCACCACACCATGTTGCCTTGGAGCCAACTGAGAATGGACTGAAACCTCCAAAATTGTATGAAATAAACCTTTCCTTCTTTCATGTATTTTGTCGCAGCAACAAGAGAAAAGTAACCAAGACAGTAGGTTAAAAAGCAAAGAGAGAAAAAGGACTTAAAATCCTATTAGAATTTTTATTGGCAGAGTAAGTCAAATTTAGAAATAAGTGACTATAAAAGAAAAACTGTTGGCCACTTACTCAGCACGGAAGATTGCTTAGTATGAGCTGTGGAGTCTTGTCCTAAAACAAAAAACAGAAAAGGGTCAATTTCTTATCACAAAATCAAATCTTTCTCTGACCAATCTCAAAAAATAGTATCTTCCCCTTTTTTAAACTTCAAAAATGTTCAGAGACTAAACAACAACATGACATTAGTTTTAAGATTACTACAATAAAAATAAGGGCTATAGGCTGGGAATGCAGCTAAGTGGTAGAGTGCTTGCCTAGCACATTGAGGGCCTGGATTGATCCCTAGCATTAGGAGAGGTGGAAAAGAAAGCCAAATGTATGCAATGTTTACTAGTTACTAAGTGTAACTTTACTTAATTCTTTTGTTTAATTCTAATACCCTTATATGGTAGACATTATTATCTATATTTCATAAGTGAAAACTGAAATTGATAATTTTCCTGATTACATATCTGAAAATGATATACTATCATACAGGATGATATGTATTATGTATGTAAATTTGTGAGCACTGATAGGTAGTTATGAAGTAAAATCCTACCTTCAATTTTTTTTTTTTCTTTCTTTTTTTTTTTTTTTTTTTTTTATCGGTACCGGGGATCGAACTCATGACCGCCTGCTTGCAAGGCAGGTGCTTATGCCATTGAGCTAAATCCCCAGCCCCCCTACCTTCAATTTTGAAGTGTTATTTAAGGATACCTATAAATTGAAGCTATGGGGTCATGAGAAAATGATATCATAAATAATTATAATAAGGTAAACAAAATCTGCCTTTGAGAAACAAATTAATTCTATCCATTGGTAGAATGTTAGAATTTACATTGATATCAATGTAAATTTATTCACAATTTCACTTTTTCTGAATGCAAATGTAACATATATGAGCTATAAAATGTATTCTAGGAATGTATAATTTAAAAATTTATGAATAATGTATCTGTTAAGTACTTACTATGTGTAGAATATTCAGTGTGAAAATACATGATAAATAAGATTGATATATTATAGATTTGCTTTCAGCCTATATTAACAATATACTTAGAAACCTGGACACATGCTTTTTCATACATTCTTTCATCAAGTTCTAAGTACTCTGTAGCACCATTTGCATAGGTAGATACATTTAAGAGTTTTCAAAAGTCAAAGTTTTAGAGCAAAATAGGGCATATATTTACATAAAGGGTAATTTTCCACAAAATATTTTCTTTTACTTTTCCAGAAACTTACTCATTTTATTATTTCATCACTAGAATCTGCTGAAAACTGAAATTAAATACCATGTAAAATGTATGAATATAAGAGACTTCCAAAGGCTTTTTCTTTAGTCATTTACTTTAGAAAAAGTGATGTAGAAGGAAAAAGCTTTTTGAAGATTTTATATATAATGTTATTTTTAGCTGAACTGATGAGTACCTCAAATTTTGGGACTTAATTTAAAAATGGAAAAAGAAAAACAGTATACTGTTAGATTATACTTCATATAATCTAAGAAACATAGCCATTGACGATAATCTGCAAAATACAGAAAATTACACAGTAAAAGAAAAATACCAGCATCTTTTGTTCTGAACAATCGCTATTAGTATTGTAGCATACTACTTTGTAACATTTTTTATGTCATATTTTCTTTTTCTTTTTTTTTTGGTACTGGGAATTAAACTTACAACCTCACATCTGACAGGCAGGCACTGTGCCACTGAGCTATATTCCTGGCCATATGTTATATTTTCTTAACATTATATGAAAATTTTCCAAATTGTAAGACTCAAACTATTACTATATCAAACTAAAAGCAAATCAACATATAGACTTTTATTGTTACATTTTGAATTTCAAACTCAGATTTAAGTAGAGAGAGTAACTCAAGAAGCATAATCAAGGGTAAAAAGATACTAGGGGCGTTTTATTTTTATCATTTACTGCATGTCTTTTTCATTTAAATTATAGAAGATCTTTAAAAATAAAGAAGATCTTTAAAAATAAGAACAAAATTGGGCCATGATTATAGGTATATCTGTAAGCATGGCTTTACTACTTTGTAGTAATTTCCAAACTGATTCTGGACACTGATCAGAAAATACAGTGATTTGATCTTTTTTTTTTTTAAAAAAAAAAAGCACATTAAAATTCATATTTAATTTTTTAAAACAGTATTAGAGATTAATGGAGCAATGAGCTATATCCTCATCCCTTTTAATTTTGAGGTAGAGTGACAGTAAATTGCCCAGGCTGGCCTTGAACTTGTGATCCTCCTGCATCAGATTCTGGCATAGCTTGGATTATAGGTAAGAGCTACAATACCTGGCAATATTGAAATGTTTAGTGTACATTTTATAAGAGAACAAATAATGATGAATTATAAGGACTTTAATATTTGGTACATAATTTATCAAAAAACTTAGTCATGTCAAAAAAATTAGCTAGTGGGCTGGGGATTTGGCTCAGTGGCATAAGCGCCTGGCTTGCAAGCAGGCAGTCATGAGTTCAATCCCTGGTACTGATAAAAAGGAAAAAGACAAAAAAAAAAAAAAAAAAATTTAGCTAGTTAGGTTTTCCTCTAACGACTGTTTAAAGAAAAAGTGAAGATACAGAACAAAAGGGAGGTAAAGAGATAATAAAACCTGGGGCTGGGGATTTAGCTCAGCAGCATAAACGCCTGCCTTGCAAGCAGGCAGTCGTGACTTCGATCCCTGGTACCGATAAAAATAGAACCTTTGAGTTTTACTATAAAATAAATAAAATCTTTAATTTTTAGAGCTTCATGTATAGTACTTTATTTCGGTATTTATTATGTGCCAAGCACTTTCTAAGTGTCCTGTGTGTATGAATTAAGTTAATCCTTATGACAGCCCAGATGAAGCAATTGAAGAACACAAGTCAAGGGAAAATCCTGACAGTTTACAATGAATTTTTAAAACAATCTTTAATACACATTTTGAAAATATTACAGTAAAACTAAGCTTTTCTGGAAAGAGGGAAACAGTACGATATTCACTAAATACAGTATTAAGTATTAACGTGTTAGGTATTTTGGTCCACTCTTAAAACTTTCTTTTTTGGAGCTGGAGATTTTAGCTCAGCGGCATAAGAACCTGCCTTGCAAGCAGGCGGTCCTGAGTTTGATCCCCAGTACCGATTAAAAACAAAAACAAAAACAAAAAACTTTATTTTTCATGTAATAGTGGAATTTATAACTAAATTTGTTTAAAAGTTGTCAGACAGCTATTTTGGAAACAGAAGCATTGGACATATAAAAATGTGGCGGCTAATTGTAGATAGTGTACTATTCTAACTAAAAAATTCCTGAGCATTGATTCCCTGAAACATTTTTCTAATATTAAACAATAAGAAGCCCTGAAATAAATTAACTGATTTGTTGTGAATATTATAATATAAAGAAAGACATTTTTAATGGATGAAATTAAAATTACACACAAAATTCTAGTATTTTTTTCCTTAGTGATACCTGGTTCAGAAAATAGCTTTGAAGACCAATATTCACCTTAATATGCCTCAATCTTTTTTTTTTTTAAAAATTTAGAATTTTTTTCTTTTTTGCTTTTGCTGCTTTAGGGACAGAACCCAGGGCTTTCTGCCTGGTAGGCAAGTGGTCTATACCAAGCCACATTCTCAGCCCTTTTTTATTTTATTTTTGAGACAGGGTTTAAATTGCCTAGATTGGTCTCAAACTTGTTATTTTCTGATCTCAGACTTGTGTCCAGTAACACCTTGCTCTTTATTTAAGAGTTTTCTTCAGCACATAGATATATAATTCAAAAAGGGCACAAGAACTTGCTAGATTTCTAAGTGGAACAAAGAATTGGAGTTTATGTAGCCTCAACCAGCTATATGCTAGTGACAATGGCAGTGAAATACTGATTATATGAATGGCTTAATCTTCAATTTTTAGAGTTTCATGTATAGTAATTTATTTGGGTACTTACTATGTGCTGAGCATTAAATGTCCTGCATGTATGAATTAAATTAATCCTCACAACAGTCCAGATGAGAAGATTGAGGAAAATAAGTTAAGCAATTATCTAAGGGCATATACTTTATAAGTAAAGGACTCAATCTGGGGGATTCTGGCTCCATGTCTTCACACTGGGTAGGCAAGTGAGCCACACCTGAGCCACACCTCTAGCCTGAGGCTATGCTCTTAACCATTATGCTCCAGTATTATTCATCTCCTTTTAGGATTTCTCTATAGAGAAAGAAAAGGTTCAGAAAAACATGAGGAAAGGTGGGAAATATACGGAATACCAAACGCCTATGAAATAGCTTATGGACTTAAAAAAATGCTTTTTTTGTGGTCCTAAGACCAAATCCAGGTCCTCATGATGTGAGGCAGGGGCTTTGCAAATGAGGTAAAGGTTATGAGCTGGGTTTCAGCTCATTTTTAGTAAAATGATGAAATAATTAAAAAGAATTATAGAAATTCTCATGAGGTGGTAAAGGAAAAGTAGAGTTATGTTTCTGTGAGACTAAAACATAAAATTATATTCTTTATTTGCAGTTTATAAATTTATCCAGCATCCTCAAGCCTCAAAATAGTGTTCTTCTCTATTAACTCTTTCAATTAGAAACTGCTAACACTAACTTGGTAATTTTTGACTGTGCGTTAGTGGGGATTGAACTGAAGGCCTTGTGAATGATGAGAAAACACTGCCACTGAGCTATAGCCTCAGGCTATTTAAAATTTTTAAAGTTTCAAAACAAGTTCTCACTAAGTTGCCAAAGCTAGCCTTGAATGTGTGAACCTCTGGTCTCAGCCTCTCAAGTAGTTGGGATAACATTCGTATAACAAACACTATGCCTGACTTAGAATAAGTAATTTTAACACATTAAAAGCATTTACTTTTTTTTTTGGTGGTGGGACAGGATCTCCATATGTAGGTCAGACTGGCTATGAAGCAATTAAGTAACCCAGGCTGGCCTTGAGTGTGCAGTGAGCCTCCTGCCTCAGCCTCCCACGTGCTGGGATTACAGCCACGTGCCACCATGCCTGGCCAAAAGTATGCAACTTTTTAGATAATATTGTTAAAGAAAACACAAGTTCAGGGACTGGGGATTTAGCTCAGTGGCATAAGTGCCTTGGGCGTGAGTTTGATCCCCAGTACCAAAAAAAAAGAAAAAGAAAAAGCAAGTTCACAGAATACCTGTATATTTGAACTAAAAAGATAGCTCCTATAAGAAGAGTTGTATGTATATAAATCAATGTTACCTCCAGATTCAACAGAATCCCCGGATCTGACCTTAACAGTAGTGACATCACTGTAAGAACCGTCTTGGTCGTCGTCATCTTCAGTTTCTCCTAAAAAGAAGTAATACAATATACTGGAGTATAGTCTCTAATGTCTAAAAGTTCTAGATTAAAAAAAAAAGTCAACATTGAAGGTTTTTAAAAAGATACCACTATTTTGAATCATAAAGTTCTAAAAATTGAACTCATTTATTTGTTGTTTTCTGAGGCACATGATGATTTCCTAAACAAACATTCACAGCAATACCTAAAAGACTATTTTGAGACTTTAGTCAAAAATGTACAGGTGAGCATTAAGTAATGAAACATTTTTACTTTATGGGTAGAAAACTAAATATAGCTACATAATTAAATTCAGACATGATTAGGGTTTACAGATGAGTTTTTATAAGTATGTATCAATGTAGGTTAACGCATACATATACCCACATAACAGAAGACTACAGATAATGCTAACTTGAAAAGGAACTAAGTTTTATACTTTTATATTTCAAACATAGATTAGTTATAAGAATTTGGAAAGGTAATTAAGCAAAGGTCAAGTATGCTAGAAATGGATATATCAGCTTTGCTTAAAATTAACTGACAAAAAGATGTTTAAAATTTGTATAAGGGGTCCCCATCAGTCATTCTATCGGATTTTATTGTTTATCTTAACAATTCATAATTTTCCTATAGAAAAAGATATGTTCTGCTCTTAAACACCTATCAAACTGCTTTTAATGTAAAAATAAAAAAAATATTATATTATATGATATTTAAAAAGGAATACCTTCTTCAGAGAAATTGACCTTCCGTTCGACACTGGAGGTTTCTGGAAGAGAAAAAGGTACATAATATCAAAATAAGCAACTAATTTACAAACTAAGCAACTAATTTACAAAAATGAACACAAAGACACAGTAAATGTTTTTGTCTGCTAAATCACTAAGAATTTATCATTTCTTTCTGGCTGCATTAGAAATAACTCAGATGCAAACTTGAATCAGAAATAGTGTTTATTTTTCTTTCAGTTACAGATCTACATGTACTCTAAAATGTAACTTATATGTGCAGGAAATACTAAATACTATAGTGATAAGTACTCCAGTCCTTGTAGTTTGTATATTCTCATTCTCCTATTTGTTACATTGCCTGCACTACCATAGAAGCATCAGGTCAGCTGAACTGAAAAACCAGTCTTTTTTTGGTTTTTTTTCTTATTTCCCTGTAGTGCTGGGAATTGAATTTAGGGATCCACATTCTAGGCAAGTGCTTTACCAATCAGCTGCATTTCAATACCTATTCAAATTTTATTTTATTTTTTGGTATTAGGGTCTGAACCCCGTAGTGCTCTGTCACTGAGCTATATCTGTAGTCCTTTTGTCATGTTTCCACTGGCTTGAATCACTGGGGATACATGCATGACTGCTCCATCCGGCAGCCGGTACCACCAGATGGGACTGTCATATATGTACCATTGGTGGGTCAGAGCTGCCAGGCATAAACAAATTATGGCTTTATCATGAATGTGTAAATTTTTATTTTTAATTTTGTGTTGGGGGCTTGTTAAGTCTAAGTCACCCAGGTAGGATTTAAACTCATAATCCTGCCTCAGTCTCCCTAAGTGTTGGGATTACAGATTTGAACCACAGAATCGTGCTAAATTTGTGAGGTTGGCTTTGAACTTCAAATCCTTCTGCTTTTAGCCCCCCCAAATCAGGTTTTAGTTTAAAAGAAAAAAATCCTCTTCCGAGTTTCAGCACGGCCATATACATCACTGTTTCTCAGAGCAACAGAAAATTTGAACAAAAATACATGAGCAAAACATATCAAAAAAATTATCAAATGCAGTGTTTTTACATGGGTTAAAATAGCAAAGGATCACAATAGAGAAATGGCATGATTTACATTTCAATAAAGTTGAGAGAACTTTTCTTTTCAGCTTTTATCTCTATTGGATTTAATCTCTTCGCTTTTTAAAAGTGTAAAAGTTATCAGTACCAAAATGGAGTCACATATGTCAACTCAAAACCAAATGGAGCTGGAAGGCCATAAAGGAAGAACCTTCTTACATGTATGCTCATAATAGGAACTATTACCAATCAAATTCACAATCTTGTGGTTGCCAGGCAGGCACTTATACTGCTGAGCTATACCCCTGGTCCAAACGTTTTTTATAAAATAAAAATATCTGTAATAATGAAAAAGTATGTTGAAAATATAAATTTATTCATTGACTTATCACAAAAAATAGTATACCAATCCCTTTTTAAAAATTCTGCTACATTTTATTTCTGCATGTATTTAAAGCTCTAGGTCAATCTGACTGTATCCAATTCATGAAACAGTCAATCCTAAAATTGCCCAAAATTCAGTATCGTTTTCTTCATTCATTTATGTGCTACCTAATTACCACTGAGGAGGGCAACTTGGTATAAAAAATTTTCTGCATAAGTTCAATACTTCTATGGTATTATATTTGAAATATTTAATAGGTCACTGGACTTTATTTATTTATTTATTTTTGTCTTTTTCCTTTTTATCAGTACCGGGGATCGAACTCACAACTGCCTGCTTGCAAGGCAGGCGCTTATGCCGCTGAGCTAAATCCCCAGCCCCTGGACTTTATTTTTGAACATTTTAAGATTTTTAAAATTGGGGGCTGGCGATTTAGCTCAGTGGCATAAGCACCTGTCTTGCAAGCAGGCGATCGCGAGTTCGATCCCCGGTACCGATAAAAAAGGAAAAAGAAAAAAAAAAATGTAAAAAAAAAAAAAAGATTTTAAAAATTATTTTCTAAAATTTTTCTTTTTGTTGACACATTTATAGTACATAATTACATTTATCACGAATAGTTGTTATGTGTACATGACACATCTTAATGCTTATTTTCCCTGCCTCCTTGCTCACAGTTAAGCTTTTAAATCTGTCTAAAACCTTTTCTTAATAATTGTTATTAATATTCATCAACAGTATTTAAGACATGAATAACATGTCTTGATCTCAGCATTAAAACCAAAACAGCACTGTTTTATAATGCAGTAATAGCTATGAATTAAAAATCTAAAATAAATTTTATAGGTTTAACAAATAATCATCACTAAATGAGCTTATCACTTCTTTCTTCCCTTATTTTTTTTTTTATTTTATTTAAGGAGAAAAAGAAAAAAAAGCAGAAAAAGGGTACAAGTTATACAGAATTTCAGAAAAAAAAATAAACAGTAGAAATCACTAGTTAAAGGATTAAACATTGTCATCTTAGAAATTTTTGTTCAAGTTACAAAATTAAAGCTTATATAGTGGACATTCAAACAGTGAGACCAAACAGTTCTGTTCAATGATTCAACAAAACTCAGTAATATCATTGTCTATCTTATACACTTAAATATACATGCAGTTATATCGTTTAGAGCACTTTCTTTTTCTCTCTTTTGTACAATCACTATTACACATTTTGGGTTTTATTGCTCCCACAGTTCTTATTACTTTTTTTGGAAGAGAGTAAAACCAAATGTGACATAACAGAACAGAGTCGGTCAAATCAAAAGGGTGGACATAATAGATAATGTAAAAACATAATACAAGGTATAGAATTGTCTATATCACCAGTTATAATAAAATTGAACAAAACAGTAAAGAACGAAACCAACAAAACCAAAACATTGGAGACATTACAGGTCTTCAAAAGTAGATAACAGTCAACCAGAATGGGCGTCATAATGAATCCCACTATCTTCACAGCTGTTGCCTATACTTTCGAACCTGGTACTATCAAGCAAAACAGAATAGAGGAACATCACTCAAAACAAGATGGTGACAGCAATACAGGGCTTCAAATCAAGTTATTAGTAAATCAAAGTGGGTTACTATAATATATCCTGCTATTTTTTTATTTATTTTTCCCTTAATTAAAAGGATAAAAATAAAAAAGTAAATAATAAAATGGAGATTGAGATAAAAGAGGGCATAACAACAAAACAGCACAGAAAAAAAATAACCATTTAAGCAAAATAGTGTTTTACCACAAGATAATCCCAACATAAAAGTAGTTACCATATTGTCTCTTTCCTTGAAATCTTTGAGTATAACTTCGTATACTGTAGCATCAAATATATCAAAACAATATAAAACCATTCAAGAGAATGACAGTATTACAGGGTATTTAGAATCAACTAACAGAAAATGAACAATGGTTTCTGTATAATCTCCTTGTCTATAAAAGTTTTTGTTTATACTATCACATATAATAAAATCCAATAAGACACAACATGCTAAGACCAATGGAGACAGAAGAACAAAAGCTTGATGAGACTTCAAAACAAGATGATACTAAATCAGCATTACCTATTATGACATCGTTTTCTCCAAAATAGCTGTTCCTATCATCCAGTCTTCTCTGCCTCATTTCTGTTGAGCTCTTTTTCTGTCATTAGTTGTCAGTTTGTCTTCTTCATTTTGTTTTCTGCTCCATTCATTGTGGCCTCTCTGCCACTATTTCTGGATTCTTCGTATTTTTCTTTTTTAGAATATCCTGCAGTATTCTCTGTAGAGTTGAATTGGCAGTTGCAAATTCCCCTAGTTCCTCTTTATCCTGGAAGCACCTTGTTTTTCCATCAATTTCCAGGGATAGTTGTGCAGGATATATCAATCTTGGCTGGAGATTATTATCTTTCAAAGCTTGAATTATTTCCCCCCACGTTCTTCGTGATTTGATGGTTTGTGCCGAGAAGTCTGCTGTAATTCTGATGGGTGTTCCCTTGTAAGTGATTTGTTTCTTGTCTCTGACGGCTTTTAATATTCTGTTCTTATATTGGATTTCTGGTATTTTGATTATTATATGCCTGGGTGTAGCTCTGTTTGGGTTGTAGGTGGCTGGGCTCCTGAATGCTTCATACATCTGAGAATCTTTACCTTTTGCTAAATTAGGAAAATTCTCCTGGATTATTTCCTTAAGTAGCTTTTGTAGTTCATTTATTTGTGTCCCTATTTCTTCTTTTATGTTCTTAATTCTTAAGTTATAGATCCTCTTATCATCTTCTAGTCTTTGTATTATTGCTGTTTGTTTCTTTGTTATTTTTAAGAAGTTTTTCATTTCATGCTCCCATATTACAAATCTGGCCTCCAGTTCAGATAATCCATCCTTAGTTTCTTTCAAGCTGTTAGCCAGTTTTCGATAGAGATTTTAGTTTCCTGGTAATCTCTTTGAACCTGCTTCACGTATTCTATGCTTTCTCTATTTTCTCCATCAGACAATTCTCCCCTCTTTTTCTGTTCTTCCATTCCACCATCTGTTTTTTCTTGGGTGGTGCTTAGCATTTCTCTAACTATTCTGCTTATGTGTAGCTTCCGGTCATTAATAACTTCATTCCTGAACTCGTCTATGAGGCTCTGGAGATAGTGCTTTATGTCTATGGGTGCGGTGTCCGCTATTGCCTGTTTCTCAGGATTGGGGGCTGAGGGGCCTTTCTTGTTGCTCCCTCTTCCCATATTCTTTGTTCCTTATATATGCAAGTGTATATAGGAGGCCCAGCTTACTTCCCTGTTGGCCACAGTCTGATTGAATTGCGCCAGCTAGGTGTTCCCACCCACCGCAGCGCACCAGGGAATTATGGACCAGGCAGACTATGCGGGGCCCGCCTCTCCAGGTCACCTTCAGGCGCTGGGATCTGGGCTGTGCTAGCCTACTGGGTCTCAGTGTAGGCTAGGCACTGCTTACCAGTCCCGCTTGAGAGGGGGATATGTGACTGAAGTCACTAAAGCGCCCTGTTCCGGCAAGTCTGCCCGGTCCCAGAATGTCCTCTGTTGGAGCCTCCTAGATTGTGGAAGAGTCCCAATTTCTCTCACTCACCGCAGGTCAATGCACGGCTCCCCGCCCATCCTGCTCTCAACTCCGTTCACCGATTGTCGTTCTCAGAGCTTTCGCGCGTCTGTCTCCCTGCCAAGCCGATTGAGATGCAACTGCAGCAGCAGGAAACCCAAATCGCGGTTTCCAATGGCGCGGGCTCCAGCTTCCACGCTGAGGCTTTATCTGTTCCTGTTATAGCACCAGGATTGCATTCCCAGTTGGTTTCTCTCAGCCCAGTTCGTTCTTGGGTCAGCAGGGCATATCTCCTCTCTTGCTTAGGATTCCTCACTCCACACCACTCCTGGATTCTAAGCTGGGTCTTTCAGAGAGCCTCCGTAGCTGCTGCTATCTGTCCGCCATGTTCTCCCAGAAGCCCCTTTCTTCCCTTCTTTACATTCCTTCCCTCCGCCCTTCCTTCTCTTTCCATGGTGTTGAGGATTGAACCAGGGTCTCAAAAAATGACAGTTAAGTACCCTACTACTGCATATTCCCAGTCTCTATACATATTTTAAAACATAATTTTTCTTCTATTACACCAAATTCAAGAAACTCAAACTATTATTAAGAATGTTATGCTAAAAAGTATATAACATAAAATACCTCAGAGAGTCACAGCTAATGGGATATAAGAGTTTATTTCCTCTATTTCAACTATGTAGTCTCTAAACAAAATTATAATGTCTGTTAGAAGAAAAACTGTGGTATTTGGAAGTCTCCTTCACTACGTTATCTTTCAAAATTCAATTCAAATATCATTTCTAACCTATAATATAAAAGCCTCTTGGACTTTTCAAGTAGAGAACGTCACTGGGATTCTATATACATACATATAGCACTACTTTGGCACTTAAAAATTATAGGAATTTAAAATTTTTCTTTTTCACTAGCTAATGTGCTCTTAAGAAGTACAGGGAAAAAAAATTCATGGCTTTTTATGGACTTAGTATTTAGGTCAGTCCCTAGTATGTAGAAGGTGGATGAAAAAGAAATGCTGTTCAATGAATGAACTGGTTTTATGAGCACACAATATATTATTTTTACTCTTGTATCATTATAAAATTACCAGTTGAAGGAAAACAACACAAAATTAATTTCCAACAGTTTCATTTCATATGTTTTAGACATTCAATCTATACCATTTCTTTTTATTATGTAGCTTCTTTCACTAAGAACTTGGTTGATACATAGAAGGTTAAAGCATTAAAGTTATATACATTTTAAGAGCTATTTTTTCTATGTCATGCAGAAGCTCAGAGAAACTAGAATCCTATTTGCAGCAAAAATACCCTTAATAACATAAAAGCTATTTTTAGAAATTATAAAGGTAGTAGCTTCAAAAAATAGATAAATGGTAATAATTAAGAAACGCTTTTAAGGAGGTGATGTTTTCAGCCTGAGAGGAATTAGAAGAACTGCTTTCAGAAATTCTAGCTCTTTTCTAGTAAAGACTAAACACTACCTTTTCCACTTTCTGTACATTTTCTTTTGGTTGGCCACAGTTTTTAAGAAAATACAAAGCTCCAGGTGTATCTCACAGTGTGACTCTTTTTTTTTTCTTTTTCTTTTTATTGGTACCGGGGATCGAACCCACAACCGCCTGCTTGCAAGGCAGGTGCTTATGCCACTGAGCTAAATCCCAACCTCTCACCGTGTGACTCTTAAGTATCCCTAGATATTTTCAGAGTCCACCAAAACATCTACATTTCCATTATACACTTTCCTATTTCTAGGGATTTATACCATATACTTGGTATGAAGACTATAGGGTACTCAAGAAAATACAACTTAAATAATTACTCTGTATTTTACCTGGGGACAAAACCATAAAATATCACAAATGACACTAAGTACTTTCTCAAAGGAAAATTATAGCACAAGAGCCAAATCCTCAGTTTACTCTTAGAACAAACAAATGACAATTTGGGTGGCTTTTGTTATTCCTGCCATCAGTATAAATAATGAATTGCCAAACTTTTTTTTTCCCTCAAAAGAACACATAATAAATAGTTCAGGCTTTTTGAGCCATTTAAGGTCTCTTTCACGTGAATTTTTCTTTTAAAAATGTAAACACTGTTTCTTAGTTTGTAAGCTATACAAAAACAGACTATAGGACAGATTTGATTTAAAGGCTGTAGCTTGCTGATACATCCCCGGGATAGGCACTTCTAAGGCTATTCAATACCAATGATGCTTCTCAATACACATAACAGGGCAGCAGGAAGGAGACATCACAAGTGTCTAAGCTCCCTAATGGCCATGGCCTTTATTAATCCCAGATGTACTAAATTACTACTAACGGAATCAGAGGGTGTCATGCTTTATATTAAGCTACAGGAAATTATTTCAAATTGGCAAGCACTTTAAAACTTAAATTTGTATTACAAAATACTTATAAAATGATTTCTAAATCTAGCATACAGAGTAAGAGTATTACTTAATTTCAACTTCAAAGTCTCTACCAATTAAGAGTCTATGTAAAACAAGTTTTTAAACAGACTACTTCAGAAACTGTGAGTACAAGTATAGTACACAAGATGAGCTGCGTTATTCAAGAATCATTTTTAGTACCCAGATACTGGAAATCCTAAAGTTTTAAAAATTAGCCTGTACTTAAAAACAAAAATAGTATACTTATAAAGAAAAATGAAGGTTTCTTCCTTTTCCCTTAAAATGTAAAAGTAAATCCAACAACATTTAATGTAAGTTTACTTAAAATTAACAGTCCATGTCCTCTCATGTCCTATTCCAAGGCAAACATTGAAAGTAATTTAAACTAGTTTAATAAATGTGGCAAAGAAGGAGTTGGGGATTTAGCTCAAAGGCACAAGTGCCTGCCTGGCAAGTACAAGGTCATGAGTTTGATCCCAGTACCAAAAAAAAAAAAAAAAAAGCAAAGAACACTGACCCTTTTATTTAAAAAATCCCAAACATATTTTCTAAATCAAGGGAAAAATCCAAACTGTTAAGTTGATATCTCCTTTTTAAAAACAGTAACAATTTAACAAAGGCCAATAAGAACTGTAAGAATTTGTTATTTCATGCTCTTATATGAATTTAAATGATAGTATAAGACAATTTCTGACAATAAAAACTCAGATTCTTATAATAGATCACTCTTGTTAGGATAGTGTTCCACAAGCTGAGCTAATGAACAGAATTAGAGATAAACAAACCTAATTCATTCATTTCACTGTTTTCATTTGTTCTGTATGCTGAATCTGCAAGACAGATGAAAAGAAATAATTAAGAGCTAAAAAGGAAATGCATCATATGGTTCACTACTACAAGTTTAAAAGCTTAACAGATCTTTATCATTCTAATACTTGCAAAGATAGTCAACTAGTTTCTTAAAAAAAAAGTCAGAATTATTCTTAAAAGGAATATTGAAAAGTAATAGAAATTTAATATAAAGATAAATAAGTTTTCATTTTAGATCCAAGAGAAAGCACAGAAAATGTACTATGAATAGACTGTGTGGAGTGACCGTGCTACTTTTCTTTTAGTCATGAAATCAATTTAAAGGTACTTTTTCAGGTTTTAGTAAAAAAGAAATGTAATTGAGACAGGAAAATTTTACAGCTTCAGTCTTGCTATAAGGCCTGAGTCTGGAATTTTTTATCAGCAGTATACTGTGAAGAAAAAAGTCCATGATCTTAGTTTAAAAGCATCATGTCCACTGTTGCCCCCTGATTGATGTGCTTTGAGGTTTTGTTATAGTTTCTTTTCCTTCTTTCTCAATCTTTGCATAAAATAAAATGGATTTGAAAAAAAGGAAAAAACAATAAAAGCACCATGTGAGCACAGAGGGACCATAGCAATATATAAGAAAGAACCTTTTAAAGAGAATGAAGAAGCCTTTTATAACATGATGTGCAAAGTTTTTCAATATACATGAAAACTACAAACAAGTAAATAAGGGAAAGAGTATTTACCTGGTCAAAATTTCTGTTTAAAAAGAGAGGAATAGGTAATTTATACATGAACTTTCTTAACTCTGAAAATATCTCCAGAAAGATACTTAGGAAACCAACATTGGTTGCTTGTGCTGAGACTGAGTGGCTAAAGGAGGTGGACACTGAGAGACTTTCCACTGCTCACCTATAGTAACACTTGAGTTTTGAACCATGTGAGTATATATACTAGTATATTTAAAAATCAAATCATAATTACAAGAAAAGTTAAACCAAGAGACAAAATAATCTCTTACCAAATCTTCTGCTTCTTAGAGGGGGTCTCGTTAGGCTAATTATAGGATCTTCATCGGTCACTAGTATAGGAAAATATTTTTTAAAAAGTATAAGATTTGTTATACATCATCCCTTTATTTAATCAACGAAGGCTTATAGTTTTCCATTATGTTATAGAACTGAAGCTTCCTCTAATTAACTGGTGAATTAGAAATAAGTTGCCTATCATATAAATTCAGGGTCTCAGAGAAATTTGCAATTGTTTTCAGTATATCACATTGTATCAAAGAAATGGAATGCTAAATAAAATTCTTTGAAATTGCTTAAATAACCACCAAAATCTGTACTTTGGTACTGAATCAACAATCTATTCCATTTGTGACTTACGCTTATTACAGATTATTAATATTGTATTTTAATTTTAGAGTTAGATTTCTAAGAGCTAATACACTTCCTCCAACTATTTGTTATTGTGTTTTACAGAACATGCAAAGCCTATTTTAAATGTTAATGTTAACCACAGGACTTACAGGGAAATCAATTTCATTAAATAACATGCTAGTTTTAGTCTAGAAAAACTAGAGTTTCATACAACATAATTTAAGCGCAATACATATCTAAATTTGAATTCTATGATGTTTTATTTCAATCATCTCTATAGAAAGAGCTATCTCAGTTGTTAGCATTTTACTCATCAGGTATTTAAATTTATATAAATCGCTTTAAAAATAAATCTTGTGCATGTGTTGATAAAGGTAAATTTTATTTACCATTAGTCCTAGTATTACAACTACCTTCTCTGTATTTCTAGCCTTTTCAGATTTAATTGAAGCCTAAAACTGAAAATCTGGTTTTGTTTGCTTTTTGTTGACTATGTTTAAAAAAAAAAATCTATCTATCTGTCTATCTCAGCAACTATCTTAGTTCCTGTTTTTTGATATAGGAAGAATTTTCTATATGTTCTACCATATAAAACCTTAGGTGGGGTACTCCAAAGAGAAAGAGTATCAGAGAGAGGTACAGGAGAATAGTCACTAGTATTCCTCACTTGTCATCATTGCACCCAGCATCAAATGTGAGAACTGGCACAAAGCAGGTGTTCAGCAAACACCTTTTCTGAGTTTCCTATCTCTTCAAAGTTCCATGAGAATGGGTGGGTGGGTGGGGTTGTTATCTGTATATCTTACTGTATACAATGTGATTCCACATGTTCCACCTCATTTCTCTAAGGGTTCTATAAATAATGAACGGCCAACAACACAGTGGTACTTGATAAGTCTGAGGCTCAATGTGGGTAGGAAAGCGATCAAGATCTAGTGATTTCCACATTATGCAGCCATGCCTTTATTAGTAGTCCTTAAATGCAGGTCCAATTTAAACTTTTAAAAAACATGTTCTATATATTCTAATATACTATAGTTTAATAATGGTCTAGAATTTGATACTCAAATCTTCAATTTCTTTCATTCTAACTTTTCTTTTTTTGCAGTATTAAGGATTGAAACCATGGTCTTTACATTGAGCTACATTCTCAACCTTTTTTTTAAATTCTTGAGACAGGGTCTTGCTAAATCATGACATTTCCCAGGTAGGGCTCAAATTTTTTTTTTTTTTTTTTTACCGGTACCAGGTACCAGGGATCGAACTCACGACTGCCTGCTTGCAAGGCAGGCACTTATGCCGCTGAGCTAAATCCCCAGCCCGCTAGGGCTCAAATTTTTGATTCTTCTGCTTTAACCTCCACGGATGTTGTGATTAAAGGGTTTTTCTTTACAAATTTAGTCTAGATTTAAAAGCTAATTATTTCTGCTTTTTTAGGACATACAACTAAATTTGTAAATAAACTCAAAGGTTATGATTTCTTTTTAAACGGCCTTGAAAACCTGATTACAGCACTCATTATTCATTATTCTAAAATATTTTATAATATTAACACAATAGCTGGGCATGGTGGTGCATGCATGGGATCTCAGCACATGAGAGGTTAAGGCAGGAAGATTGCTTTAAGTTTAAAGACTGCCTGGACTACATTCTGAGTTCACAGCCAGACTAATTTACACAGCAAAATCCTATCACAAAAACTAAAAATATTAAGTCAGTAACATAAGCTATTCAAGGAATTAAGGATAAGGGTATATTTATTTGAAAGCAAACCTGAACTAGACATACTATATTCTAAACTGAGAACAGAATAATTCAAGTAATAATCTTACTAGAAGTAACAGATAAATAAATCAGGTTCTAGGCAATAAAATCCAGGGATAGCTGGACATACATATACCTGTAATTCTAGCACTTTGGAGGCTGAGGCAGGAGGAGCATGATTTTAAGGCCAGCCTGGGCTATATGGCATACCCTAGGCTACTCTTGTCTCAAAAAACCTAAACCAAACCAAATATAAACAAAACAAACCCTCTCGGGGCTTATTACCTTCAATAGTTCCAATCATTTATTCTTGAGGGACTTTGTTCATATCAAGAAAAGAAAAATAACTGGAAAAGCCAAAACATTAAAAACTAAATTGAACTTAATCCTTTCCCATTTTAAAAAAATGTTTCAGTTTGAAATTGGATGTAGCATATTGGGATGTAGCATACACTCTATAGCATATTACAATAAATTATCAGAAAACAGGAAGTACTTTTTTTCTCTAGGTGGCACATAAAACAATGATGGTGTATCCTACAAATGATGGCACCTTGGATTAGATCAAACAATATTAAAATGACAAGGTAATACTGTATGAAGATTTTACTACTTAGAAATTTTTAAACAGAGAGCAATACGACATAATCTTTGACACTTAACTTTACCAAGCAGCTAATTACTACACAGGACAGTAATGGTGAGGTTCTTTAGAAAAAGTAAAAGGTTTCGGGGAAGACAAAGCCGGCTCTGAATTTTGCCTCAGTCGCACATGTGTTATAGGGAATCTTACATGTTCCAAGTTTTACTTTTCTCATCGATAAAATGGGTATACTATGTATCTGGGAAAGTTATAAGGATCAACACAAAGAGACTGGTACCTTTTTAGTGCATATTGAAGGGTCCAACCTTATCTTTTTTGACACATATCAACATTGCTTAATTCAGTGAACAACAAGAAAACCAAATGAGTTATAACTTAGGATCCTTGACGAATCTTCGATGAATATTTATTTTAAAAACCTAGCACATAAACCAGGAATGGTAGTGCACATGTGTAATCCTAGCACTCTGGGAAGCTGAGGCCAGGGGAGTCCAAATTCAAGATCCACCTTGAACTTTGTAATTTAGTAACTTGGCAACACTGTCTGAAAATCAAAAAGGGGTAGGGGTGTAGCTCATACAAAGGCCTTGGTTTCAATATTGAGTGGTAGGTAAGAAGAAAAACAAAAACCAAACTATTCTTACCTGGAGCTTCTTGTGTTCTGACAGTTTTCTTTGAGAGTGTTTGGTTTTTAACAGTTGGAGAAGATGGTTCATCCTCTAAAGAAAAGGTATGATGAGTTAAAATCCAGAATATAGTATATGACCTAGCAAATCATAACAGAATTATGCATACTTAGCAGTCATATCTAAGTAAAAATGCAGATGATTCATTTCTTTAGAAATGTGTGATTAAGTTAAAGCTTACAAATTAAACTACTAAGACAGTGTAATTCACCAAGTATAAAAATATTCACCACTACTGCTTTACAACAAAAACATACATAATTAAAAGATGGGCTCGAGTATCAAAAGTGATGTGGAAGAGAACCGTTGGGAGATTTCAGACTTATCAAAACAGAGGTAAATTCCTTATTTAAAAAGCAAAGCCTAGTTTGATTCCTGGTACCGATAAAAAGGAAAAAGACAAAAAACAAAAACAAAAAAGCAAAGCCTATACAACTGCACTAGGCTCTGTGGGACAGTCTATACAAAGTAATATTTACATAAACTCCTGCATGCAAAGCATTCTCCCAGGTATTAAAAGAAACACAGAATTAACACAAGTACTTAGTCGTATGTCACAGGATCCTTCAGGGTTTGTCAATTTAGAGACAAAACTAACATACTGTATAAGCTAAACCATCTTAAGTTGTTATACCCAAAACTAACTTACATAGCTTAACAAAAAGTTCATAAAATCTAGTCTTCAAGTGTATCAGCACTTTTCAGTGTGAACTGGTAAACTTGCACCCTCCAATGCCTGCTACTATGCTCTAAGTTGAAAATCCATACACAGGTACATGGTCTAGAATTAACTATGTATTCCACTGTGACCCAAATGCTTTGATATTTCCTTCATAGGCAGGTGCTTTACAATAGGCTAAGATAAAACTTCAATTGTGACTGTTAGATTTGGTGTGTGGATGGCATTAAGCAAAACTGGCTTACCTGGGACTCATGTGAAATTAGTCCACTCAAACTACTCAACTTTTGCATTTACAGGAAAGCTTCCTAAGTAATCAAGTTTTCTTTTTTTGTGTTTTGAGACAGGGTCTTGCTATGTGTTCCAGGCTGGCCTCGAACTCATGGCAATCTTCCTGTCTCAGCCCTCTGCTCTCAAGTGCTGGGATTACAGGCATGCTCCACTACGTCCCTGCAACAATTTTGTTTCGTCAAGAGGGTTGCAGTGAGGGCCTTCAAGAGGGCCATTTATGGCAGAGACCACAATACTTGATTTTTGGGGGAGTGGGGGTGGAGTTGAGACAGGGTCTCTCTTTGGGTTCAGGCTCGGCCTGAACTTTATGGAGTCCAGACTGGCCTCGAATTCACGGATCGTCCTGCCTCAGCCTCCCCTGGTACTGGGTTTATAGGCGTGAGGGCCGCCCCGCTGACCACAACACTTGTCAAGTAGGATCAGCTGACTCTGTCCACTTCAAGGAGTGTCAGCTCAAAAAACTTGAGTTAACCCACTTTGGAGTGAGAATTTGGAGTAAAGACTCAATTCTCTAACTCTGCCATTCTACTCTTCAAGATTCCCATTCACAAAACTTATTCTCCCCGCTGGAGCAGACGGAGAAGGCTGAAAGGTAAGGACCCTGATCCTCAGCCCTGGGGGCTTCTGGCTTCTGAGAATTAAAGAGGGAAATGGAAGTGGCTTCGAGATAGAAACCTCTGAGAAAGAACGGAAATGAAACCAAGACTGCAGTCATCCTTAGTCCCTACTAACGCCTCAGTCGGCGCCCCCTTCTGCAAGCCTGCAGAAAGAAGCGCCCCAAACTCCCCTCAATTCGTGCCCAGGCTGCTTCCAGGTTCGCTCCACACGTCCATCTTTACCCTCCTCCCTCCCGGGTCAGTGCCCGGTTCCCGCCTGCCGGTCGGGGGGACCCCAGCGGGGGCGCACGGCCAGCGGGGTCGCAGGAGCGTCCCCCACGCGCAGCCCGCCGCGTGCTCCGTCTGCTCGCCCGCTGCGCGCGCTCCCCGGCAGCGGCTGCGCCCGTCACCTCCGCAGTCCCACCTTCGGAGGAGAGAGGGTCCTGCCGACCTCTTCTGGTCCTAACCGGCGACGGCTGTAGCGGACTCTGAGGCTGCTGCGGGCTGGCATTGGATCTTTGAGTCTTCATCTCTTCCTCGGCTTCTTGGGGTCGGGGCCGCCTCCGCTGCCGAGACCGAAGGTAGTAGGCGCTTTCTTTGGCTTCCTCCTTTGCAGAATCCGGCCGAAACTCCTCTGGCGGGGTTCGTCTTCCCACCAGGGACCTTCCTTTGGCCACCCGGGGTTCGAAGTCGCCGTACTCCTCTGGCGGTTCCTCTGAGAACCTCACTTCCCGCCGGCCCTGGCGTGACGGAGGAGCTCCGTACGCCGGCGCGTCTGCGCCGCCGCCATCTTGCGAAGCCCGGCAGAGCCGTCCCTCCCGCAGCGGGGGGCGGGGCGTGGCGCTCAGCGCCCAGAGCTCGCGGGCCGGCTCCGCCCGCCGCCCCTCGCGCGCCATAGTTGTTGACTTAGCTGTGGTGAACCGAGAAGATAGCTTTGCAGCCCCTAGATTTTCTTGTTGGTGGTGTCGCTGGCTTCTCAGGGGTGTTGGGTGGTGTCCTCGAGTGGTCAGGGAGGCAGTTGAGAGTCGCCGGGGCCGCCACCTGCGTCGTCGCCGCTGAACCGCGAGCCTGCCTCTGCGCCCATGGTGTGTCTGACGGCGGTGGGGAGAGGCAGTGCCCGAGCTGGGTCAGCTGCTCTGGGTCACTCCCGCCTCCTGGCTGGAGGCACCAAAGAGGAGGAGAAGGGTAGGACAGCCCTGTCCTTGGCCTTGAGGGAGCGAAGGCTGGGGGCGACGGGACAGCGGCAGGCGACAGTGTTTGTGCGACGCCTTGCTGCTCGTGGCAACTGTTGCGGGTACGAGGGCGACGCCCGCGGCCCCATGCTGAGTGTCCAGCAGAGGACGAGGGAGAAGAGGCGGAGGGAGCCCAGTCGAGCCTCCGCACCCGAGCTGTCGCGCAGTTTCTCTGGGAACTTTCTGACTGCAACCTTGGCCGGGCTTCTCCAAGTATCCGTAGGCGGAGTGAAGATCTGAGAGATTTTTGCACGTATTGTCGGTTCTCATAGCAGAAATTGTAGTTTCCACTTCGATGGGAATGTTGGCTAGTTTAAAATTTTAAATCACCTATTGAAGTTGTCCAAAAGATAGATTTTTCCGTTGGCCAAAGGTCACCGTAGCAAACAACTTCTGTTTTGCACCGAAAAGTTCTATTCCAGCAGCACTGTTTGAAGGCAATGTTGGTGCTGCGTTATGCGTAGTGAAATTAAGCATATAGTTTGATTAAAGGTAGCACTGTGAAAGTTGAGATCCAGTATTTTTACTTTGATTCTGGACACGCAGATATTACTGCATTTGACGTAGGGTTCCAGCGTTGAGTTTACTGACTGAGAAAGTATGATAACTGGTTTAGCTTTGTGTGCCATATTTATAGATAATGGATAATCTGAAATTACCTAATCACATTTAGATAAATAGGAAACATCGATTAAGTTGTTATAAAGCCTGAATGATTTGAAAGAAAATTTATCTTCAGTTGTACAAATTTGAGATTTAAATAGGTTTAAAAGTTGTGATTTGGATACCAAAGTACAATGATTCTGGAAAGATGGAAAGTACACTTTCAAGTATTATAATCACCTTAAAATGTTCTTGAGCAACTCGTTTGTTACATGGATGTGCACACAAATTTTAGATATTTATATTTTCAGCAGTACATAAATTTGGTCGCTGACATAAGGAATTGAATAAACTAGGTTTTTTTTTTTTTTTTTTTAACCTGTTTGCAGTTTAGTTTAGCTTTATTTGCTCTATACAATATATACCCAAAAGATACTGGAAGAACAGTAATATGAAAGACTGCTACTTGCCTCTTAGTTGTTAGAGAAAAAAGTGAAAAAAATATTGTTTATTGTCAGCCGGTATATTTAGAAATATACTGAGGTTGGCTAGTATATTTGGACAATTTGTGACTATTTTCTCCAAAATGCTGAAAAGTATTGATACTGAATACATGGCTTTTAATTATTTTCTTTTTAAGTAATGCTTTCTCTGTAAGGTGCCCGTTACATTTCTCATTACCACATACTAGTAAAAGTTCTTTAATAGGCATGTAGTAGTTATTAGAGGATATAAATTTTATACTGTTAATATAGTAAGCTCATGATGAAAATTAATGTGTATACTAAGAGCCTCTTTACAACATTTATCAGAGCAGATGACAATGTAGAAACTTGGATACTGGCTTGTAAAACTTCAGTTTCAGGGACACTTAGGGAGGCAAGAGACTACATATTCCAGAACAATTAAAAGAGAGAGGTTCTATAGACTATTGAATAATTGTGTGTTATTTTTTAACTAAACTGCTTGTAAAGACGTAGAAATGACTTAAAGAAATGAATAATGAGAATGTTAAAGTAGATTCAAAAGCAGGAAATAAGGTAACTTTAGAATTTTAGCATTGATGCATATGTTTGCTTAGGGTTTTCTCTGTTGTCTGAGTTATGAGAATACTAATCTTAGTTCTGTCATAGCTGCTTTCCACACCTAACAATCTTGCAAATATGAAGCTTTTGTTACTAACAATGAGTGAAAGCCAAACTCTTGTCAAAACAGATGTTCTTCTGTAGGTGTTTTCCTAACAACAAGGGCCCACAAGAATTAACATTTCAGAGATAGTAGACTCATAGCCAGTATTATTAGAGATTTGCCAGGCCACCAATGCCAGGAGTTGCTTCATGAATTTGAGAAATGTAGAAGAATTCAGTGAATCAAGAGACAGATAACAGAAGTAATGCTTATAACAATACATTTATTCATGTGTTTACTAAATACACTATGCTAACAAAGATGGAGATAAATGTACTCAAGAGATTTTGCTGTGTACCGTGATACTACTTTAGGCTAGTCAGAGAAATTTTATGAATCATATTACCACCTGGCACTTATCTACTACTTACCTAGATAGTAGGGCTAGGTCTAGAAACGCTGTTTTTCATGTTGGGTTTCAAAAGCAGTTTTTTTTTTTTTTTAATACTTTCCTGAGATAGGGTTCCACTATATAGTTCAGACTGGCCTTGAAATTTATTTATTTATTTTGTGGTACCAGAATTCAAACTCACGATCAGCAGCTTATGCTGCTGAGCGAAATCTCCAGCCCCTGGCCTTGAAATTTAATCCTCTAAACTCAGCCCCCTGAATCCTGAGATTATAGGCATGCACTATCAACACCCAGTTTAAAGCAGCTATTTTAAATGAAATTTATTTAAAAATAATTTTTGTAGAAGAGTTTTTCTCTTTTTTTTTTTTTTAAAGCGAGTCAAATTTAGCAGTGGCAGGGGTGGTATACCAACTTTAGTGACACTAATGTTAATAAGTTCTGATAACCCACTGCCATTGGACCAGCCAGTTTTTCTCTTACGGCAAGAAGAAATCCAATTTAAAGTGAAAACACTGCATATAATAAATTTCTGATTGAATAGAGAAATAATTGAGATTTTAGCTTAATAGAAAGGGACAAAATTGTTCATTTCAGTAAGAAAAAGATTTAAAACTTAAGAGGAGGTAAAAGCAAAACTGCATGTATTCCACATTCTCACAAATGATAGAAGAATATTTTAAATACAAATGAAAATATCTCAAAATGTTACATTGAAATTAAAACTTAAAGTAAATGGAGTATATTTTTCTACCGTTTTGATTTAGAAACTGCAGTTAATTATTAAACAGGTTCTGGGAATCTTTCTAAATCTGGTGAGACATCTGTCAAAATAAGGGTGATTGACAGGCAATGGCACCTCAGAGCTTCTGTGTACCAGGCAGTTCCTGTTCTAGAAACGGGGAATATAGCAGCTGAAATAAACCACCTAACAACCTTCTTGCCTTCTTGAAGTTTATTTTCAGTGACAGAATCAGACCAAAAAAAAATCAAAAGCAAAATAATTTGTTGGTTGGAAGTGTTACAGAAAAAAAAAAAAGTGGGAGATTTTGTCTGTGTTGCCTTGAAGTGGGATACATCAAGAACAGGAATTTTAGACCTAAATTGACTGCCCCTAACCAAGTATGTGTTTTAGGTAAATTGCTTACCATCTTTCAATTTTTGCTGTTACTACAGTGTGTAGATCAAAATAGCTATTTTTGATTCATCATTTACTGTCATTTAGCAGATATGCTACTTGGAAGATCCAAACGTGGTTTTGTAGCTTTGACCGCATTTGACAGGAGTTAACTAAGACTTTTTTGAGGACATTCTCACAGTGATGACAGCTAGATTCCAAGTCATGTCTGACTTGAGCTTCCATAATGTGGACGTCTCACTGTGTTGGTTCGGTGGTTTTTCTATTCTGTGCATTTCAGGCTCATTTTAAGGGTGAGCGTGGTCAGATGTCCTGTAGGATCAGTGAGAGAATCGGGCCGTCTGTGTTTGATTGCTGGTATTTAAGGCAGCTCTGGTGGAGGGCCTGCCTCTGGTGGGTCGGGGGTGTGAGTGAGGGGAGGAGAAGGCCGGAGGCTCGGAAGGGCGACTCCCACTCCCGGCATGCCGCAGCCGCAGCCGGCCGGCGCGTCTCCCCTCCCCGCGGAGGTGGCTGTCGTGGGAGGGGCCCGGCGGCCTGCTGCCGCTGCCGGGGAAGTGCGTCCTGCTGGTGCGTGGAGCAGAGGAACTCGGGAGACCCAGGGGCTCCCCTGGGGTGACAGGCCTGCGATTTTAAAACCGCTCTAGAATTTGTAAGTAAAGAAATGAATGTGGAACTTTCCCAAGTTTAGTTTCTGAACTGGTGTTTCCTCCTTTCGAAAGGTCTTTCCGAACAGATCCCTCCCCACCCCCACCTCCTTCGGCGCAAACGGAAAACAAGGTAAGTTGGGGTTTATTTTTGTCTGTGAGTGAAGCAAAGGATGAAATCTTTTAAACGTTAAACAGGTTCAGTAAGGAGTAAATCTTTCGTTGGGATCTTAGGATGAGAAGCAGAATTCCTTTAAGTTTCTAAACGAGAAATTTGGCAACTAATGTAGGTGGCAGTTGCTCCCTTCATGTCCTTGTCTGACAGGATCCTGCTATTCCTCATATTAATCCTTAAGAGATAGTACTTATTTGTTTTAGCCTTAGTGATGGTAAAAAAAAAAAAAACAAAGATTGAAGTTTTAGGCCCATAGTTATGTTGCTTACATGTTTATGTACTCCGAATTATATTCACTCATTTCATTTCAACCAAGTCCCAAGTAGTACTCTGAACTCTACTTTATCAGCAGTGCTCATTAGACTTTGTACTGCTGAACAGATCTGGAGATGAGGTATAGTACTCTGATAAACATAGGACTTTGTCTTATTGTCTTCAGGTTTTAAAACATTTACTTAGGTTTGTAAGCAAGATCTTTTCCTTTATATTCTAAGAATTGAGACTGTGGCAGCTATCTATCTGTTAGTTATATTTTTTAAACAGAGTATTGTGAGGAACAGCAAGCAGCTCCTTTAATGAAAAAAGGAACTTCACGTTGAAGTAGCTAAAAGGTTTTAGAATTCTTTGGTTTGGAGTACTTGGAAAAAGTAACAATTGCTGTGAAAATTTTCTGACGTTCTAAAGTTTGAAGTGAGAGCCTCTCTTAAGTAATGTTTATTACATTGACTGCAAAGACCACAGTTTGAAGACCATTTTTGCTGCAGGGTTATCACATTACCTTGAATGACTCATTTTAGGACTTTTTTTTATCTAGTTTTCTTCCTTTTTAAAAAAAATTTTTATTTAAGGAGAAAAAAAACAGAAAAGGGGTACAAGTTATACAGAATTTCAGAAAAAATAAACAGTAGGAAATCACTAGTTAATTACATATTGTCATCTTAGAAATAGTTGAAGTTACAAAATTAAAGCTTATAAAGGGGACTTTCAAACAGTGAGACTGCAAACAGTTTTGTTCAATGATCCAACAAAATTCAGTAATATGGTTATCTATCTTATACACTTAAATATATATGCAGTTATATCTTTTAGAGAACTTTCTTTTCTTTTGTACAATGACAATTACACATTTTGGGTTTTATTACTCCCACAGTTCTTACTACTTTTTTTTTTTGAAGAAAGTAAAGCCAAATGTGACATACCAGGACAGAGTCAGTCAAATCAAAAGGATGGACATAATACATAATGTAAAAACAAAATACAAGGTGATCAACAGTGGTTACCATAATGCCTCTTGTTATCTTAAAAAAAATTGCCTATATCATCAGTTATAATAAAATTGAACAAAACAGTAAAGAATAAGACCAATAAAACCAAAACATTGGAGACATTAGAGGACTTCAAAAGAAGATAATAGTCAACCAGAATGTGCGTCACAATGAATCTTACTGTCTTCATAGTTGTTGCCTATACTTTCAAACTTGGTACTATCAAGCATAACAGAATAGAGGAAAATCAGTCAAAACAAGATGGTGAGAGCAATACTGAGTTTCAAATCAAGTTAATAGGAAATCAAAGTGGGTTACTATAATATATCCTGCTATTTTTTATTTGTTTTTCCCTTATTTAGGATAAAAATGAAAAAGTAGATACTAAAAAGGAGATTGAGATAAAAAAGAGGGCATAACACCAAAACAGTGCAGGTCAAAACATAGCCATTTAAGCAAAATAGTGTTTCACCACAAGATAATCTCGACATAGTAGTTACCATATTGTCTCCTCCCTTAAAATCTTTGGGTATAACTTCGTATACTGTAGCATCAAACATAACAAGACAATGTAAAACCATTCAAGAGAATGACAGTATTATAGGGTATTTAGAAATAACAGGGTATTTAGAAAATAACAGAAAATGAACAATAGTTTCTGTATAATCTCCTTGTCTATAAAAGTTTTTGTTTATATTATCACATATAATAAAATCCAGTAAGATACAACCTGTTAAAACCAATGAAGACAGAAAAATAAAAGCTTGATGGGACTTCAAAACATGAGGATATTAAATCAGCACTAGCTATTATGATGTCTTGTTTTCTCCAAAATGGCTGTTCTACCATCCAACCTTCTCTGCCTCATTTCTGTTGAGCTCTTTTTCTGTCGTTTGTTGTCAGTTTGTCTTCTTCATTTCACTTTCTGCTCCATTCATTGTGGCCTCTCTGCCACTGTTTCTGGAATCTTGGTATTTTTCTTTTTTAGAATATCCTGTAGTATTCTCTGTAGAGTTGAATTGGTGGTTGCAAATTCCTCTAGTTCCTCATTATCCTGGAAGCACCTTGTTTTTCCATCGATTTCTAGGGACAGTTATGCAGGATATATCAGTCTTGGCTGGAGGTTATTATCTTTCAAAGCTTGAATAATTTCCCCCTACGCTCTTTGTGATTTGATGGTTTGTGCCAAGAAGTCTGCTGTAATTCTGATGGGTGTTCCCTTGTAAGTGATCTGTTTCTTGTCTTTGACGACTTTTATTATTCTGTTCTTACATTGGATTTCTGGAATTTTGATTATTATATGCCTGGGTGTAGCTCTGTTTGGGTTGTAGGTGGCTAGGGTCCTGTATGCCTCATACATCTGAGTATCTACCTTTTGCTAAATTAGGGAAATTCTCCTGGATTATTTGTGTGAATAGCTTTTGTAGTTCATTTGTTTGAGTCCCTACTTCTTCTTTTATGTTCTTAATTCTTAAGTTATAGATCCTCTTATCATCTTCTAGTCTCTGTATTATTGCTGTTTGTTTTGTTGTTATTTTTAAGAAGTTTTCTAGTTTTCTTCCTAATGTACAGGTAATACTAGCTTGAGCTCTTCTGTAATGAACAAATAAAGTAATTGGTATTTAGCTAATTTAAGAATTCTTGGGGGGCTGGGGATTTAGCCCAGTGGCATTTAGCCCAAGTAGGGATTTAGCCCAAGTGCCTGCCTAGTGAGGTCATGAGTTCGATCCCTGGTACCAAAAAAAAAGCTTGGGTATTTTAATAATATTTTGGATCTTGTACTGTAGTTTATTTTTGACTAAGGAATCATTTTAAACTGTACTCCATAGAAATCCACTTCTGTTTTTAGTGCTACTTGCATTTCCTAAATGAAATTTGCTCAGAAGCATTGCCTGTTTTATTAATTTTAGATTGTACACTAAGCCAGCTATGAAAGTGTGTAATCTTGGAGGAGCTACAATCTCTAAAAATAGTAAAGAATAAAGGTTTGGCAGTTTTTGATTTATGTCTAAATATTTGTGTATTTTATCAACCCCTTACTAAACTGTACTGTGTGAGATGATATGGTGATAATTTATTTTGCACAGAAAATAGGCATTTGGAAATAAGAGTGGATATCTTCAATCTTGGTTATGAGTGTAGAATTTTGAGTCTGGGACTGAATTCCCATTGTTACTGTGTTGGCAGGAAAATTGGTAGCTGTGAGCCTGTTTCCACATTAATAAAGTGGTGATTGATAGGGTCATTTGGAGTATTAAATGAGACAGTTTAAGGATTCAGGTTAAGCGGAGATTACTATTACCTATTGGGTTACTTTGCTTTTTACTAGTAATAAAGGAAGTATATCACTTGATTTTGGTAATCAAAATAGGAAGAAAATTTACCTGTAATTTCACTGCCTCCAAATTGTTTTTTACATTTTCCATGTATCCTTTTAGACTTTAAGTATACAAGAAATCAAGTTTAACACATTGGCTGTTAAATTCTGAATATTTTAAGTACTGCATATACAGAGCTGTTTGATTTTGCCTTTTTTCTGATCTGTTGGTGAAAAAGCAGCAGAATTTTGCTTTAGTGCAGTTTCCACTTGACTTTTCTCATTCCCCCCAATAAAACCTCTAGTTTTTATTTAATAGCTCAGGTAATAATGATTATCAGCTTTTGAGTACTCTTTTGGTGCCCACACAATGGCCATATCTTCTTTAACCCTCAAATTGCCTCTTTATCATCTAGGTAGTGTTGCTACATTTTGTGGTTAAGAAAACCAAAGGCATAGAGAGAGTTCAAGTCAGAAGCAGGAGAAGTTAAGGCCAAGAGAGCTATGCTAGATTCTGGAGTATAGGTTCAGTGTATAGTATTAGATCACACATAGAGGCAGGAATTGATCCTGGAAGAGTGACTTTTAATTTCTTATAGTAAAGGTAGTAGTAATATTTGTTACTTTATAATTGCTTGAATCACCACATTTGAACATTTTAGTGCCTTAACGAATGATGCTATTTATTGGTTGTAATATTAAAAATACTTGTGCACAGGCAAGTTCGTAAATCTAAATGTTCCTTTTTTGTTGTTGTTGTTGTTGGTACTGGGGATTGAACTCATGACTGTGCGCTTGCAAGGCGGGTGCTTATGCCGCTGAGCTAAATCCCCAGCCCCTAAATGTTCCTTTTTAAAAAAAAAATTATAAAATGAATAAAGTTCATAATGAAGGAAAACTAACTTTTCTTCCCAGAGATATTTCTTCAAACCTTATACTTAATAGAGAGCACCCGAATCTGGCAAACTTGTTAAAATACCTGCCTGCAGGAAACTCTCAGAAATTCTGGTCTAGTGGGTTCTGGAGTGGGGCCCAAGAATTTGTAGTTACAGGAAATGCTAAAGAATCTCAGATAATGAGTTTGGTAAAGTAAGGAGACAGTTACTGATACTAGTGGTAAACCGGATATGGTGGATTGGCCTATAATAATCCCAGCCATATGAAAGACTGAGATAGGCAGCCAGCCTGGACAACACACAAACCGGGAACAGACTAGTGTTTATTGAACCAGTTGTTGGCTGACAATTACACTCAAATGCAGTAAGTAAGTACCTAAATCTTGGTTTTTTAAAGGGAGCAGTACATTCTTGGAGAAGTGGTTGATTGTAGAGCTAGAGCAGAGAAAATACAAGATGAGGCTGGAACACAGCAGAGGT